AAAAGAAGCCCAGGTCTGTCTGACACCACCACCCACCTGAATCCTTCACCACTGCCTGGTACTGCCTCATCAGGCTTTTAGGAGGGTCTCATGGTGAAAAGCGTGTGAAAGTCTACTGGGGGCGTGTCTTGGCTAACCTAACTAAACTCTTACTGTTATTCATACACTGCAGGCTTGGAAAGCATATACAGCAGCACAGCAGGGGTTTCATGGCCGGTAAGACGGAGTTTCGCTTTTGCTGTCCAGGCTGGAGTGCAACGGCGTGATCTCGGCTCACAGCAACCTCCGCCTCCCGGGTTCAAGCAATTCTGCCTTAGCCTCCCAAATAGCTGGTATTACAGGCATGTGTCACCATGCCTGGCTAGTTTTGTATATGATGGGGTTTCTCCGTGTTGGTCAGGCTGGTCTCGAACTCCCGACCTCAGTTGATCCACCCACCTTGGCCTCCCAAAGGGCTAGAATTACAGGCGTGAGCCACCGCGCCCGGCCCCAAAGTATTTTCCTTAGCTGCCAACCGATGGCCATTAAATTCAGATTGATTAGAGTCCCTCTGCTCCCCCATGTTCACTTCGGCTCCCTACAGCATCGCCACATAGTAAGGAGACACTGCACCGTATGGGTGGGGACCAGGTGGTCGTGGAGAGGTGGTAGGCTGGGGCGCAGAGACAGGTTTATTGTCAGCTTCGCACAGAGGCCAGGAGACAAGGAACACGGAAGTGGAGCAATGCAGGACAGGAGGTTTCCAGGGAACTCCAATTCTCTCATCCCAGCTCCCAGGCCGGCCTTGGGACACTGCACAGATGCGTAGCCGGAAGCCAGGGGACCCCAATAGGAGGAGAATTCTGGGGAACCTAGGGCCCTGTCCTGGAAGGGCAACCCTGCCCCACTCGCCCAAGTCCTGGACTTCGGGGACAGCGCTCCTGCTGCAGCAAACAGAGAGCACAGCTTGGTCAGGCTGGCGCTCTAGAGCAGAGACCCCCAACCCCAGTGTGCGGATATGGTAAAAAAAAGGGGGCGTTGCGGGGGCGGAGCTTAATGATGGGCGGGAACAGGCGGAAACTACAGGAATTCAGCCAATGCCTCCAATGGGCGAGGCCAAATAAGGGGGCGGGGCTAGAGAGGACTGAGCTACGGCCTGAGGACCGGTCAAGGGGCGTGGTCATTATGGTGCGGGTAGGGCCGGGGTCCGACGGGGTCCGCCTGCCTTGCTGACCGAAAGCAGCGCCTCTGGTTGTCCGCCAGTGCCTACTTGGCCAGGTAGCGCTAGCGCTTTATCTTGGTAGCCAGGGCTGGCACATTGGGCACGAGCCGGGCGATGGGGTGCAGAAAGAACACTACGTGCTGGGGAGAAAGGGGCCAAAAAGAATGACTGCCTTAGAGATCTTATGGAGCGCTTACCCCGCGCCAAACCCTAATCTGAGGGTTTTCTGGATATTAATTTATTTAATTTGCACAACTCTATGAGCTGGGAGTAATTTCTACTCTACAAGTGAAGAAACAGAAGCAGAAAGGAGTTGTCATTTGCCCAAAGACACAGAGGTATGATTTGAACCCCTTAACACTAGGAACCCCGTTAGGGGGAGGGCTTGTAAAAGAGCAAAGCTGGTGGGAGACTGCTTCCTCTCTTTTCTTCAGATCTCTTGCCAAGAGATAATGTTATTATTATTTGCGATATTAATTCATTGGGCACCTACAACGTGCCAGGCACTGTGCAAATGCTTGACACCGAACCTTCATAACGACTCTATGAAGTAGATCATGTTATGTAATATATCCCCCTTTCCAGCCGGTCGGCGGCAGAGCCTGAACTTGCAACCAAGCCTGTCCAAGACAGATGGCTGAGCCTACCTCGAAGGCGATAATGAAGCCCAGATGCACGGCCAGCAGCTTCCAGTAGAAGAGGGCGAGGTTCACCCGCGCGTCGCGAAAGGCCTTGTATCTGGGTTGCGGGATCCGGAAAGGCTCTCGGATCTCGACTCCGAACCCTGCGCTTCCTCCCCTCCTCTCCCCTAGAATCTGGCCCTGTCTGTTCAGCCCGTATCCTAGCCGGCTCCGCGCATCTGTTTGGGACAGGCTCAGCTCACTGCATCTCAGGCAGGCCCCGCCCCACCCGTCCACAGTTTCGGCTCCGGACTTCCCAGGCAGGCCCCGCCCCTACCTCCTCAGCACTCGCCCTTCCCAGACAGGCCCCGCCTACCAAAGCTCAGTACCCGCCCCTCCCAGGCCTCGCTCTGAAAGGCTCCGCGCCCTGCTTCCCGGACAGGCCTCGCCTCTCTCACCTCAGGGTCCCGCCCACCATGGCTCAGGGTCCCGCCCACCATGGCTCGGGCGGGACGCTGAGCCATGGTGGGCGGGACCCTGAGGTGAGAAGGCCCCGCCCACCACGTCTCCTGGCCACGCCCCTCCCCCCCAGTCTGAAGGGTCTCGCACCTACAGAGTATTTGCTCTGGGCCAGGTAGGCTGGGGGCGCGGGTGCCTGCCTGAAATTCACAAAGCCGCTCAGCTGGATGTGGTGCTCATACTGGTACAGAAGATGCGGCAGGAAGTCCGAGGTGAAGGTGAGACGGAAGCCTGCAGAGCCAGAGGGCCTTCAGGGCCCAATCCCCTAACTCACCCCCACTCGGATCCTGACCCACTCCCGAGGCAGGATGAACCTTTGGCCCGGAATCCTAGCCTCCTGTCCCCTATTTCCCAACCTCTGGCCCGGATTTCCTGCTCCAGCCCCCCATTTCCCTATTCCTGAACCGCCTTCCCCAGTCTCTGAGCTCCATCTCCCCCGCCTCCCTCCTCTGTATTCCCTTCCTCTACCGCACTCCATTCACGGTGACCGTAAGGTGCACCATGGCTTCCAGCAGGAGCAGCCAGATCCACACGTCCTGCCGCGCCCAGCCATTGGTCGCTGGTACTCGCACAGGAACTTGTGGGCATCCAGTCGGATCTCTACCCAGTTGGGCAGAGCAAACAGGGGCGCCAGCAGGAAGGCCCCCACAAAAATGGTGATGAACCCAAACTGCAGCTCTGGGAGGCAGGGAGTGTCCCTTGCTGTGCCAGCCCCCCAGAGGCCCCACTCATGCTCAGGGCACACGCTGGCTGCTGAGTGCTCACCCATCTCCGGGTATTCATCAAATAGTCCCTGGCACTCGATGAGCTCATACTCCTTCCTCCTCCCAGCGCTGGAGCTCCTGCCCAACCTGGGTGTCCCTCTGTCCTACCAGCTGCCAC